TCTTTCAGGATGCATGGCTTGACAGTATTGAAAATAATCCGATGTATATGGGACGATCTGCTGCAAATGATACTGAGAAGGATGATGATAGTGGGAACGAAAAACCAGTGGATGAACTTTCTCAAGAAGATATTGGAGTCAGAAAGAGGCGTATTGCTAATGTCCTTGAACCAGGGGAAACGGTGAGACTCATTCTGTGTTTTGACAAGTAATTGTTTCAGAACATGAAACACGGATTGGACTGACTAAAAATATTAGCTTCAGATAGCATTGTTGATTATACATACTGCAAACAAGGAAAACTAACTGAGATTCATTGTTACAGGTCCTGCGAGCTTTAAGGAGGTTGAAAGGGAATAATCGCAAGGAGAAGATGACGTATGAGACCAAGCTTATCTTTGATCAGCTTACTGATGATGCGGACAAGCTCATCCAGAATGGCGACTACAGTTAAGTCTTGTATTACTTATGCTATGACAAGCTTTGCTACAACAAATATTTTATCCTCCATTTGTTAACATAAGTTCTCTTTTTATGTATTCAAGATGTTTATCATGAGGATCAAGAAGTTTTTGAACGCGAAGCAGGTTAGAGCTACTAATGCTTTTTATAATTTTCGTTGTTGCTGCAGCTCAGTGTCTTTTGCATCATGATATTTCATTTTTTTCATAACATTAGTGAACAATGGGATTTCCTTGACTTGTTTTTCTCTATGCTGGTCTTTTTAGAGGGTTATGAGAGACTAGCTCAAGCGAGAGGAAATGGGAATGCTGATACAGAATCTTGTGATATGTTTGGTGATGATGAAGATGCTCCGATCCCTTCCTCTAATTTACCTTCTGGCTCCATCTCGGGCACTCAGCTTAATCTTGATACAACAGCTGCCGAAAGTAAGAGCTCTAAAAATGTTTCCATCACTTATAAGAATATTTATAGTTGAAATTATTTCTCAAACTTTCCCTTAACCGGTTTTATCTACAGATGGAGCCTCGCAACATGGGCACACAAATGATGGATCTGATTATGTCTTTGATGAATCTTCCGGGTACGTGTACACCCTTGCCTCTCTCTCTTACTGGATCGCTGGATCAGCTAGCTTTTTGGCTGAAGTGTTGTGTTATTCAGTATTATGATATGAAGCTCATTTTGTATTTATCTGAATGCATTCTAAAGCTAATATAACACTTATAGTCAAGTACAAAAACTAATGCATTTTGTAGTTTTTAAAGCTAATATAACACTTACAATACAAAAACTAATTTATTTTGTATTTCAGGTACTATTACAGCAGCAGTCTTGGTTACTATTACGACGCAAATACTGGATTATACTGCTCTGCAACAACCGGCAAATGGTATTTTTCTCAATGTGTTTTGTTTTCTAATCACCGTTGTCAATAAAAATCCTCTTTTCTCACTTTTCGATTTTGCTATTATCCGTTTAACTAAAAATATATATAATGATTGTAGGTACAAGTACAACGAAGAGACGAAGGAATACGAAGAGGTGGTTTCTGAAGTTGCCTCGGTGGAGGAAGTTTAACTTATTTAGTCTGTACTTTGAACATAAGGTGTTAACAGATTTCCCAAGTTAGACATGTTTCTTTTGTTTAAAAGAATTAGAACATAATATAAAATGATGTTACGAATTAATGTGGATTAAGTTTTGTTCTTGATTTAGTATGCATAATTGAGAAAATTATAGAGATGCAAGTAATCTGGTCATAAGCTAAAAACAAAATTACGTGATCTTCTCATATTACCCAGAAAAACTACCTAACAGTTTCTCGCTTCATCTCAAGAAAGTCCTTAACATGTGACCCAAGAGAGAATTAACAGCTTTCTAGATTTAAATCACATCTCTGTATGCGCATTATCAACAGCTGTGAAGAAAGAACATTGATATAAGCAGAGAGTAAAACCGTACAGCGATGGATGGGGGGTCAAGAGTGAAGTCAGCTTCGAACCATTGGATGGTCCCCTAAATATCGACCATACTCTACTTGGATGGTGCTTCAACAGCTGTGGTACCAAGCAGCAACAGACGGGTAAAGCACAATAGCAGGAAGTATCATGTCCAAACTCGGGGCATTCGAGCAACGAACAGATGGGCAAAATGATGTCTGTTTACAAGAACAATTAATATTTGAAACCACATGTAGTGTAAAACAATGTCTAAATCTCTTCTTCGAAACACAAATAAGATACTTGGTTTTGTGGGGATTTTGTATGAGATTCGAATAAGATAATTAAGATCATATATATGATTAAGTATCAGACTTGAGCACAAGAAAGCCTATGCTAAAGTTGAAAAGTGACAATCACATAGATTCAACATAAACAAAACTCTCTACTAAAATTGTTCATGCTGATGAAGTAAAGAGTCAAAAGTAACTCTTCTCTGGTCTTATTGTCCGTGAGATCCCATCAAGAACCTGATATGATTTATCTTCCACAGTAAACTCCACTTCCACTAGATAGCTATATCCAGTAGCTTTTGTCATCGTTTCCTTCTTCATCATCAAAACCCCATCCTGCTTTCTATACATAATTCAATGTGTTTACATTTTTGTCTTTTTCGCTATTTCTTACATTCTTTGCAGTAGAATGGTAAGAAAGTTTGTGTGACTTGTAGTGTTACTTTCCCTAGTTCGAGAGATCCTCCTCACAATTCAGGAACGAGACAAGCGATGTTTGCACGGCTCCAATCATTCCACGAATTACATAGATCCCACAACCAAGGGCAATAAAAGAGGCCGGGAACGAGGGGATCAGAGATCCAAAGGAAAACAAAGACAAAGTAGCGACGGTGTCACGAAGGTTCACTGCCTTCTCCTCACCTAGAGCTATCAAATGGGATGGTTGATCATTGTCCAATCCAACCCATTATAAAAGTGGTCAGTTATGATCATGATCATAAAGATTTTAGTCCAAATGGGCATAACCCATTTTGTTCCATGGTCAAAATGGGTCGGACTATATGGTCAATGGACGTCCAATGAGATGTGTTTTCTTTTGAAATGTTTTTGAAGAATCTTTGACTTTGGTTTCTTGATACAAAAAAATAACTATAGAATC